GTGGTAAGATGGAATTTTGTCGACAAAGGTAAATCATTGCCCCTCTGGTCACGAATGTTCATTCATTTGTGGCCGAAACTCTATTTGGCACCGGCCTGTGGACGCTAAGTAGAAATGCGATAGTGCATGTGGCCAGAATTGAAGCATGAACTGTTCCAGTGAGTGACTACCACCATCCAACAGTTGGAAGTGATGGTAAGATGGTGCTGAAATTCAGTTCTCTTTTCACTAAATTCCATGGGCGGTATTCCTTGCGACTCGACAGCAGTCATGGTGGCCACTCTTGTAACTGGTATTTCAGGCTATCAATTCATTTAGCAAGTTATCCACCTAAATTGCGTGAAGATTTGAAACCATTGGTTGGTCATTCGCTCGTTTTTTATGCTTCACCTTCATTTACCTCGGTGCATTCCATCGTCATCCTTATCTGTTGTAGTTTTGAAAAAAAAAAGTCCCGTCTTGTCAACAGGATAACAGAGAATCGATCCGAAACCTCAAAAAACGCAAACATGGAGTTGCAGTTCGAATAAAAAGCCTTCAAACGCATACGGAGTGTGAAACTGGCACCATTTTCGGCTGCGGCGGAGGGGGGGGGGGCGAGGTTAGTGTTATTTATTTGTTATGACGTCCCAAGGGGGCGGAAGTGGTGTAGTGACAAGTGGCGCGCTCACCACGCGAGCGGTCCGGGATCAAATCCTGGGTCGTGAGTCGCCCGGGCCAACCAAGCCTTCCATCCCTCCGGGGTCGGTTAATTGGTACCAGACTTGTCTGGGAGGATAAAAACACTGACTTGAACATCGGCTGGCCCCCGCAAGTCATTGTATAGGCCACATCGCATTCAAACGCCACTGCGAATGTACAAATGGAAGTAGAATGCGTGCCGCATCCCAAAGGGATTGATCAACGGCAAATGCTTTATCCTTTATCCTTTATCTCCAAGAAGCCCAAAGGAACACTCTCTGACCCAATGCGCACCTTTCTGATATAAGTGCAAGAGAAAATCAATGTACAGGTCAAAGAATAAATCCTATTGTGAATGATTGTGACGTAGCTGCTTTCAGCCCATCAATGCTGAGCACCTTATACCAGGAGCTGTCCCTCAGTTACCGAGCCATCGGGGAAGGGTGTGTAAAGCATAGGAAGACGATCGTGAGGTCAAGCGGGATCGAGTGTGGATCGCTGGGGATTATGAGGAAGGCTCTAGACGTCGTGGAGTCGTGGTGTGGTGGGTAATAACTTTTGGTGGATCTATTACTGCTCAGCTGTGAGCACGAGCGTTAGTGTTTCATAAATGTAACGGCGGACTTGTGAGTGTTTCTCGGCATCGGGTGAGGAAGCGGTGGGTGTAGTTTTTCTTGTTTTGGGGGGCGGGCTGATGAGGAAGGAAGTCTGCTGTGGGAGACATCTGGACGTGGAGGGCGGATTTGCTCACGGGATGGGGTTCTGATAGCTTAGATTGTTATTAAGGCTGGCGTCAGGCGGCCGAGCTAGGAAGCGAAGGAGACAAAAAACATGGGTAGAATGGCGGGGGAATGGAAACAAACTTCGTATAATGTATGCTAGATTGTGTGTCAGATTACTAATGTTCGCGTTTTAGACGATTATCGTCCATCCGGGAACGATCGTCCTGTTAAATGTCGAAAAGATGAAGATGATGATAATGATGAGGATGAAGGCGAACCTCTGGAGAGCATAGAAACATTCACGGATCCTAGTGGCCATACGGTTCACTTCTTTTAAGCTTTTGTTCATCTCATTTCCTACGGTAGTTGGGCGCTTTATCAGAGGCCTGACAGACCTTGGGCAAGAACCGATCCGAGATTTGTCTTTAGGATCGTGTTTGTGCTACCGCCACTACACCATTGCTCTACAGTAAAATCAGGGTCAAGTTCTTGTTGTAGAGCTGATGTAACAGAGATCACAAGAGGTATCACGGAAGGTGTGATAAATTTCGGACTTAAAGGCACATTCCGCGATAAAACAAGTGTGAGTGTAGATCTAAAAACAAAGGTAGTTGTAATCATTGGCTCATCACTAATAGAAAGGAACAGAAAGTGTCAAGAATTTCCTGAAATCATGTTTCGCGCCGAGATGTGGGCGGTTTTTGCGCCCCGCCCTAGTTGATTTTCTTTAGTTAGCCTGCTTTTGATACGATCAAATACTATGTAATGCGCAAGGAAATGGCGCCAGCCAATGAGACTTCCGTGGAGGCGGGACGCAAACTCCGCCCACACTGTTAGCGCGCTGTATATTTCGAAGTCTTGGCGGTTTCTTGCTTTCTTTCATTAGTTTTCATACCACCACAACTGTTCTAATTCTTGTCCACAATATTTCACATCTCAGAATGTGCCTCTGAAGGACTTTGTGGTACTTCTGAGCGCCGGATTAAAAGCGGAATGGGTTACGCTACCGGGTCCCGCCTCCCTGTTTATACCCCATATTCCGAGAACAAATAAGCGAAATGTATATTAGTACAAATACACTGTGATTGCGCCCATGCTTGACTATAGAAGTTGTACAGTGTCTCACCCACAAGAGCATTGCTGTCATTGCTCTGGTTAGATTAGATTGGGGATGCTTGGCATTCCTAATATTATGGTGATTTTATACTTTTGTATGTATTCCGTATTATGTGTGTTTCATTTTAATCGATCTTATATTACATTATGTAAAGTAATAGAAGTATCGCACTTTTTGGATTAATTCTTTTCAGTGATGATAGCGAGGGTTACGATATTTATTTTTCACATTTCCACTCCATTATCTTTGTAATCCATAGTTCCCTCATTGATCAGATGTGTCCTCATGACATTACAGTGAACTTCAAAGGCAGTGGAACGATATCTTTTAGCGGGAGCCCGTCTTTATGAACGTCCTTGAACGTCTTGCTTGGCAGGTCCTTCAGGCTCGAGTCATGTTCTTTACCTACCTTGAGACGTTCTCACCAGGATTTCCAATGAAAATTTCATCCAAAAACCAAACCGGCCCTCCATTAGCTTCCTACCTTCAAGCATCTCTGCTTCACGAGTCAAGGGAAATGATATAGACAGTTTTGTCAAAAGAATTCATGTTTTTCCTAACAAGGAAAGGATGGTAGGTCGAAGTGGCCGTATAAAATGAGATGTATACCACCTGATGCGTCTCTAGACGCTGATTTCAAATCTGCCTTCCAAATCTGCTAAACGGCTCTCCGAAGCGGAGTTATGAAGCGTAATAGCTCAGTGGTGATGGTCCGGGGTGGCAGGTAAAAGCTCGTAGGATCGGTTCCTTTGCAAGTTTGTTGCTTTGCTTTTGTCCGCAACACTTCTAGAGACAAAAGCAAAGCAACCAACTTGCAAAGGAACCGATCCTACGAGCTTTTACCTGCCACCCCGGACCATCACCACTGAGCTATTACGCTTCATAACTCCGTTCGGAGAGTCGTTTAGCAGATTTGGAAGGCAGATTTGGAATCAGCGTCTGGAGACGCATCAGGAGGTATACATTTCATTTCAAACGGCCACTTCGACCTACCATCCTTCCCTTGTTAGTTGGGAGGGGGACCACGCGGCGGCGCGGCGCTCTGTTCGTCTGCTCTCCTCCAAGGCTTAGTCCCAGGGGCAGTTACTATTTCGCCATCACGTGGCAGTTTCGAAATACGCGCCATCGGGGACTAAGCCTTGGAGGAGCAGACGAACAGAGCGCCGCGCCGCCGCGTGGTCCCCCCCCCCCAACTAAGATAGCACCGAATTTAGTTACTCGTGCATTAGCACAGCCGCGAGGCGAGCTTTCAATAAAATCCCTCGAAGTTACAGAATCTCTTGGTGAGAATTCTCATGCAGACCTCCTCCTTCCTTGTATGCATTTCTGGATGGGGCAAAAATGACTGGCGTGTCGTCTAACATTTCAATCCAGTCCAAGATTACAAGGAGTGCAGCCTCTTCAATGAGGGAACGCTGTGCTACGGCTAACCCCCGCCAATGCTATCGACGTGAAATGCGCCTTGAGGCCAGAGATCACGATATCTGAGGGGGATCCTTAGTTACCTTAGTAAGCACAGCAAAGTTGCGGCGTCGTGATTCGTCGGCTACTCGTCCGAGGGGGGGGGAGGAGAAATAGTATTTTCACAAATAAGCCACAGGTTACTGGAAAATACCCGAGTCTGCGAGCCACTCAAACGTAAAAACGGCTGCCAACCACTTGTTATAGTAACTACCCGTTGGGCGAGGTCGTTAACTACCATGACGGGTGCACGGGTGATTAGCAGCCGTTTTTGCTGAGTTCATAACTGACCTCAGCGTTCGAATTAAGCCGCAGGTTCAGGTCACCTCTACTTTCTTTTCGTGCATCACGTCATGGTTTTGGAAGCTGACCCTTTTGAGTCTGTGAGACCCAAAAAGGTGGGAAGGGGGGGGGCATTTGCTGCAGCATTTCGTGACGCTCACACAATTACGATTTTAGTAGGGGAGCGAAGCTCCGTGGTAGGTATAACAGCAGAAGCGGAGCGATTCACGTGTCCTCTGATTTCCTACCTCGGCAAAAATTGGAAACTCGGCACGGGGGCGCTAGCTATCATTGCACCGCATGCTCTCTCACCTTATTCAAATATGTCTACTTTTTTCATTGTTTTTTCTATCGTGCATAATAGTTTCAAGAGACTTTGCGTTTTGAACAGTTGGAAATAAATATTGATTAAATTTGTTGGTTCTGAAAAATGAGTGAAGCTCTCATTTTGTTATTTTTGTCAGTGTTCTCAATCTGTCAATATGTTTAATCTCTGCCTTCAATTTCAGTCTTTTTTCCAGCGGCCATGGGACGTCACATGAACCCCGACATTCGGTTGTGTGCACTGTACGAGTTCAAACTTGGGCGCTGTTCTCGAATAGCTTTCGATAATTTGGTCCGAGCGTATGGCGCCAATGTCGCCTCGATGTCCACGGTTATGAGTTGGTTTCGAAAATATCGTGACGGCAATGAGAACACGGATCATGAAAAATCGTCTTCGAAGGTGAATGACATGGAACTGAAACAATTGATGTACGAGTATCCCCACATAGGAATGAAGGAACTGGCGCGATACTTTGGTGTCAGGTATACCACAATCAAATATCACATCGATTCAATTGCCAAAGGAAAATTCCGGAAATACACTGGAGATAAACCGGTGAGTTTTGATAATTGAGCTAATACAAGTCAAAAAGTGTGAAGGTTCCGGTACTGATCAGTACCT